CCCGCCTTGCAATGCCGAAGACAATTTGTGCGCCGGACTCGTCGTCATTGAAGCCTGGTTCGGGGGCTACTGAGGGAGTCCTGGATTAGGGGGTGTCCGGATAGCCGGACTATACCTTCGGCCGGACTCCTGGACTATGAAGATACAAGATTGAAGACTTCGTCTCATGTCCGGAAGGGACTTTCCTTGGCGTGGAAGGCAAGCTAGGCGATACGGATATGTAGATCTCCTACCATTGTAACCGACTCTGTGTAACCCTAGCCCTCTCCGGTGTCTATATAAACCGGAGAGTTTTAGTCCGTAGGACGAACAACAATCATACCATAGGCTAGCTTCTAGGGTTTAGCCTCTCTGATATCGTGGTAGATCTACTCTTGCACTACCCATATCATCAATATTAATCAAGCAGGATGTAGGGTTTTACCTCCATTAAGAGGGCCCGAACCTAGGTAAAACATCATGTCCCCTGCCTCCTGTTACCATCAGACCTAGACGCATAGTTCGGGACCCCCTACCTGAGATCCGCCGGTTTTAACACCGACATTGACCAAGATAAAGCTTGATGGAATTCTAAATGGTCAATTCATAAATGCAAGTCATGTACCACAAGGAATCTTGTGGTATGGTAAGCATTTGTTAATTGTGGCTTGTGTTCTAACCCATACTACGTGTTTTCTATGTCTATGCGTTCTCATGGGCTTGCATCAAGAGAAAGATTCCAAGTGTCCATGAGAGGATGACATCAAGTGATCATGATCATGGTTTACTGATACCTCTCAAATGTATCTATATTTTTGATTATTTAATGCTATTATGTTATCATTTTATATACTTTTTATAGCATTTTAGATTATTTTTATGGGCTAACCTATTAATTTAGTGTCCAGTGTCATTTCTTGTTTTCTGCTTGTTTTTAGTGCGCACGAAATCAATATTTGCGGAGGTTAAAATACATTGCCGATTTAAAATGATTTTTTGGGGAAACAAGAAACATTGGAAGCTTCGGGAGATGTCGAGAGGGGCCACCATCTAGCCACATGGACACATGACGCAGCTAGAGGATGGTCATGCCAGCTGTTCATGTGGGGCCCTCAGTTATCGCCTTGACCTAATTCCATTGCCATAAATCCCTATAAGTATCGAAACCATCCGTCGTACCTCCAGAAGAATTGTATCTTTGTTGCAAGCCTCTGTTATGAAGAGATCCCATCTGGAGCCCTATACCAGATCCCTGCCAGAGGAGGAAGTCATTGTCGGAGGCCTCTTCATCAACCTTGCTACCTCCATGACCATGTGTGAGTAGTTCCTTCAAGACCTACGGGTCCATAGTAGTAGCTAGATGGTGCTCTCTCTCTTTTTGGATCTTCAATACCATGTTCCCCTTCTTCCTTGTCTGATTGGGATCATTTCGATGTAATTCTTTGGTGTATTTGTTGGGTCATGATAAATTGTGAGTTTGTGATCATATTGTTCATTGAATTCAATTGAACCTTTTGCAGTTTCATTGTTGTATAATTAAATAGCTATGTATGCTTTCCGATCTGTTTGTCTTCTCCTATGAAGATTGATGAGTAGTTCTTCAGAGGGAGTGGTGCCTAGTAGTTGGTTCAATCTTGCTATGCTCTAACCCAGTGACAAAAGGGGCCAAGGCACGTATTATATTGTTTCCACTAAGGATAAAACGATCGGTTTGATCTTATTGCTAGATTTCTTTCTGTCGACATTATGTCATTTTTCTTATTGCATTACTCCTTTTCTCGTAAACTTAATAATTTGAGATGCATGTTGGATAGACGTCTTGGGGTGGAGTAATAGTAGTAGATGCAGTTGGATTAACGGTCTACTTATCACGGACGTAATGCTTATATGATATTATGCCATGAATGATCATAGTCATAAAGATTATTTTTCTTGTCAATTGCCTAACTACAATTTGTTACCATGCCCGTTGCCTGCCTTCGAGAGAGTTACCACTAGTGAACCTATGACCCTAGGGTCTATTCTCCATTAATACCTTATTATTTGCCTCTTTACTACTTGTCTTACCACTATTATTTATCTATTAGCTTTTAACATTGTAACTAGCAAGACAAGGGGCTTAACAACCCGCTTGCCACGTTGGGTGCAAGTATTTTATTTTGTTTGTGTGTAGGTGCTACTTATCTTGGCGGCTTGTTGACTCCTAATGGTTCGATTAAACCTTGGTTCTTAACTGGGGGAAAGCTTTGATACTATCTACACCACCCTTCCTCTTTGGGGAAACCCAATGACTCCTACGGGAGTAGCACAAGGGAAAGTTCAAGATAGATGCCCCAAAGAATTACATGCTTGAAGCCTGCTAATGATCACATGATGGACATGTGAAGATGGAATGCAAGGCAATGCTTCCCACATGGTTTTTGAGGGAGCTATTTGATGTCTTCACCAAGTGTCATGCTCAAGATTGTGTTTCCAACTTGAGCCAACCATAAAATTCAATATCAACCTCAAGTGGAATGCTCTTGTCAAAGGTATTAGTTCCTTTGGCTTTAGTGGTGTGGATAGACAAACATCGAAGAAATATATGCTCAAGATTGGATTTCTAGGAGCTATCTAGTGTAGCTCTTTTATGTTCTTGAGTTATAGGGACCCCACACTATTAAGAGGAGATCAAAGGAGTCCATGATGGATTTGCTCAAGTCAATATATTTTGCACACGATTCCACTCAAATAATACCAAAAATGCCTTAGCCAAAATCCTACTACCAAAAGTGCCCATCCTCATGTTAACAGGAAGATCATCCGGATTGCTACCCAGATCATGTGGGCTTTGCTCGGATCGTCTGGATAGTGTCCTGGATGTCCGGCTAGGTTAACATGAGGTACATGTAGGTTTTCTCCAAAGACGGGTCATCTGGGCTCCTCCTCGGATCATCCGGTCGTTGCCCGGAAAAACTGCCTGAATACTTACACAAGAGACATTCTCGTCCGGCTATATTTCCTTTGCATCACCAGTAGTTGACCTGGCCACATCATCCAAGTCCCTGCCCATATCATTCGGGTTGCTTCCCGGACATCCGGGCACTCACAAAGAAACGTGACAAACGGCTAGTTTTTCTTCTAGCCTATATATACCCCTTTAGCACTTCATGGAGGGGTTGAGCAACACAAATATCTTGACCGACATCTAAGAAAATCCCCCTCTCCCTTCTCCTACCTCGAATCTTAGATCCCAGGGAGATTAGTGAGAATTCTTGAGAGAGATTTCACTAAGTGATAATCCACTCCATCTCCCTTTTTAAACCGAAGAAATTTGTGATTTGAGAAAGTCTTGAGCATACCCCCTTGATCTTATTACTCTTGGAGGTTGGAGACTCCTAGGCGGTAGGCATGCTCCGATGGGGAATCAACTTGTGATTTGTTCCCCGAAAAGTTTATGAAGGTTTGGAGGCCGCCTTAAGGTCTACCACTAGTGGTTGAGAATCGCCTTCGTGGTGATATCTCAAGGATAATAGGGTTAGCCTTCGTGGTGTTGGTGTGCCTTTGTGGTAACACACATCCCTCCAACGGTGATAAGCTTCCCTACAAGAAAGTGAATACATCCGTGTCTCTGTGACTTCGGTTATTCCTAACCCTAACTCCTTATTTGTGGTTTATTTTTATCTCTTGACCCTACATTCACTATATATTATTGTCATCATTTTATTGTGTTGGTTATTCCCTTGTAGAGATTAATTAGGCCTTCACTTTATATTCCGGAATTCATACTTGCTACTATTGATATATCTTGTGATCAGTGTGAATTGCTAACTTGTGTCATAACACTTCCATATCTTGTGATATTGCTCAAGTAAGTTTGTCTAACTTACATTGCTCATGAGACAAAGCCTCCAAGAAGAAAATGACATCACAACGCCTTCACAGCCCCGATCTGGAATGTGCCGGACCAATGGTTTTCACGCAGAGCCCATGATGGATGGAGTTCACCCACGTTGACACCTCCAAGGAGGGAAACGACACACAAGAGTGTCGACATCGCCGACATGACATAGTGAGGAAAAGCTTTTGCCAAGGACACGACCCCCATCATCCAGGTCCATCGGTCACGGTCCACCGAGGAAAGGAGTAGACGACTCCCGGACCAAGTGTGGTGGCAGCAAAGCCCACACCAGCATGATGGACGCCTCCCAAGTGATCCACCTCGCCGCCCTAGCGATCGAGGCAACCCACGAGCACCCGCGAGAGTGATGTTGTCGTGCCACCTACCAGAGCCACCGCTCCCGGCCACCGAGGGGGTCCACCTTCACCCACCACCCACATGGCGGTGGATCGCAAGCATACAGTCGGTCACCCTGCTGCCACACCAACACAGCTCCATCGCCCACTGCATCCCAAAGTTTACACCTTGTACCCACACAGAGAGGACCCTAGATCTGGGATGTCGGGTGCCCAGAGAAGCAACCGCAAGGGCCGCCAATGAGGGGAGGGCCATGCCCAAGGAAGCTACCGGGTCAGATCAGGAGCATGATGGACCTTGTGGATCCAGCATCCAACGGCGACCGGGAACACCATCCATGACGGCCAGCCACAAGCGAGGAACTGCGCCACCGAGACCCAGCGACAGCAGCCTGCATCACCTACACGTGTCGCCGATGGAGGGAGAGGGAGTTTGATTAGTTTATGGTATGCACACGATGTTTTGTGGACGATCTCTACACTACATTCATATGATCGAAGTGCAGTAGACGGCTGGAATGACTCTCATCCAACTGTCCTCAGGTTGTACATCATCCACAGAGCAATTTCGTTTATACTCAATATGACAACTGAAATGTGATTTAAGCTCAATATATGACAACTGAAATGTGATTTACACTACTGTTGTCTTGTTGATGCGCACTCTCTTCACTTTCTGAACTATAAAACCGTGTAGAAAATTTGAAACTGCTGGCATGCTACATCTGAGATCCTAATCATGTTGGAGTGAATAGACGAGAGACGGGGAAGGCACCAGTTATTAGTTAATATAAGAGGACAATTAGTACAGACAAATGCAAGCGCGCATCAAGCTTCTTCCGGCACAGCCATGAGAACGATGCTGACGTCGGCACGGGCACCGGCTCTGACGCCGGCGAAGGCGACCCGAGAGCCGGCGGCAGCTCAAATGGGGCTTTCCCCTGCCGGACGCCCGTGACGTTCCTCAAATCCGACGAAATTTTGCTCTGCTCCCAGACCTCAGATGCTGAAACAAGCAGAGAGTAAATACACGGCGATGGAACACTAGCAGAAATGACCCAAGGAGCTAGCGAGGTCACACTCACTGACCTCTCCTGGTTACCGTGAGGTTGGCGTCGTCGTAGTTCACCGGCCACAGGAAGTAGCCGAGCAGGCTGCACCGGGCGGCGAAGCCGAGCTTCTCGGCGACGAAGGCCGCGCCGTCGAAGGCGACCCAGACGTCGCCCACCGCCAGGTACGACGACACGGAGCCGTTGTCATACGACGTCATCACCGGCGCGCGTCCGCCCGCGGTCGTGGTGAGCGCCTGCACCTCGGCGTAGGACATGGCCCCCGTCGCGTTGCTCCCGCGCTGCTTCGGCCCGGCGGCCACGACCGGCGCGCCGATGCCGCTATTGGCCTTGTTGCGCAGGAACCACGACCGGCCGTAGAGCGGGAGCCCCATGACCACCTTGCCCGCCGGGACTCCCGCGTCGAGCCAGGAGACGACGCCGTAGCTCACCGAGAAGTGCGACGCCCTGTCGTACAGCGGCGCGTCGAAGGCCGTGACAGTGGCCGCCGCGTCGGCCGGCCGGAGCCCGAACGCCATCACGTTGATCCAGTCGAGGCTCCCCGCGACCGCCTCCGACAGGTAGTCCACGCCGGCGAACGGCGCGCCGAACACGTGGTTAGAGAAGTAGACGGTGGCCGTGAGCAGGAACCCCTTGGGCGCCGCGGCGCGCCACTCGGCGACAAGGAACCCGAAGTCGGCCATTTCCACCGCCGACGCCGGGAACCGCCACGCGACGTCGATCCCGTCGAAGCCATTCTCCCGCGGCACCCTAACGGCCGCGTCGACGAACGCGACCCGCGACGTCGGGTCCGCGGCCATGGCGGCGAACGCGGGGTCCCCAGATGCCCTGGCGGCGCCTGCTGCGGCATCTTCGGCGCCGGCGGTGGCGAGGGAGAGCAGGGTCCTGAGCACCGGGTTTCTCCCTTTGAGCTCCCGGGAGAAGCTGGCGAGGAGGCGCGCCTGGGCCAGGTCGGCTGGGAGCTGGAGCGTGTGCCGCGTGGGGTGCACGGAGAGAGAGGAGTAGTAGAGGTGGGTGTAGAGGGAGGCGTCGAGGGCCGAGAGGGGCCAGAGATCGGCGTCATCGGCGAAGTAGTAGCCGGCTCGCACCGTCGTCGGTGCTTGTTGGGTGGTGTCAGGCGGTGGCGCAAGAGCTGAAGCTGCAAGGGAGAGCGAGAGTGAGATGACATTGTAGAGGAGTGTGGTGTGTGCCATTGCTGAGGAGGTGGCCGGAGAGTGAGCATTGTTTTTGTGTCACCGGAGAAGGGGAATCTTGCTGGTGTTGTTATGCCAGTGGTTGCTTCTTTGTAACTTCTTACCTGAAGCAAATTTACCATTAATTAATCAAAAATGATAAAAAAAAACGTCCGGTTTTTAGGCATAGTATAAATCAAACGTTTTTTTATAGCAAATTATATTGTGGTGAGGATGGCAGTTTCATTTAGTGAGCATTTATATTTCTGGCAAAACAACTGAACATGACAAATATTATGATGCTTGCTAAAGGAAATTGCCATCCTTGCAGCAACATAATTTGTTATTCCGGACATTTGATTTATCATGCTAAAAGAATCTGGCGTCTGATTTGTATGAATTAATAAATATTACTGTACATCCCAACTAAGAAAATTTGAGAGAGTGTCAGAAATGCTGTTCTACCATTTATGTTCATGACCAACTGCACGTTGGCCTCTGAAGGATTGTTTGTGTAAGGTTGATCACCGTTGTAGTTTTTGAAATGACATCATGTATGGTCTCCTGGAAAAATGGCATATACCGAGCAGTTGGTGTATATAGACAGTCAGGTGTATTTACTATGCCACATGATTTTCATTTTATTTTTCCTACCAAACAGTAACAAATTCATAGAAAATACAATTGAACAATTAGTAACCATAAACTAAACAAAGTCCAATGATAACATGAAACCATGCATATCGAATAATGCATGGCCACCGATCGCAACATATGAAACAAAATAATAGCCGCGTTGCACCTACGGCAAAGTTTAACAATTAGAAGGATGCAAAGGTTTATGTACAAATATGGATGGTTGGGGTGGGGGTAGGTGGGGAAGGGACACCGCTCTATGCATGTTGATGTCGTCTCTCGAGGATGCAATACATGAAGTATGTTTCTTTATTAAAAAAATGTTACCAAAAGATATGCCATTGCTACTCCCATTCCTGCATCGCAACACATTGTGAATGTTTCATACATGTTGCATGATGTCAATTCCATTCCTTGATCATTTTGGTAAACTGATCTAATGATTGCAAAAACTATTGATCACTCTCTGAGCAAAGTACAAAAATAGATATCGTTGGGATGCCCACGAACAAGTGGTCATGTTGTACAGTGGGTAGTTGATTTACGGAGAGAGCCAGATGTATTTATTTTTCTGGATTATTTTAGACTTTTCATCGATGTTCATTCAGTTGGAGGAGACATTTTCGTCAACTAAAGAGACGCCTGTGGTGGCTTCGTTTTTTTTAAAGATCCGGGGTCACCGGCTTCATTGATTTAGAAGAAAGCAGCAGGAGATACATGAATGATCAAGTGATCGTGGTATTAGGAGAGCTAAGAGTGGCCAGAACTAGGTCAGCTACATGACCAGGGTGTTTTATCTCACTACATCCTCCCTGAACGGGGCCTCAATGCATCGAGCTCCTACAAGCCACCAGAGCTCCATCGTGTTCTTGATGGCTCACAGAACGTCCTCCGTATGAGGCGTTTTTCCTCTGAACACATACGCGTTCCTCTCTTTCCAAAGCTCCCACGTGATCAGCAGCAGCATCGTCCTTAGCCTCTTTCTGCAACTTTGAGGCGTTGAAGCAGTCAGTCTTTCCCAATGCCTGAGAGAGCTGTGACCTGCTTCCCGCGCTTCATTGAGCACAGCGCAACCATATCTACGCGACACTGCCTGCCAGACCGTTCGGGCGAAAGGGTAGTCCTAGAAAAGGTGGATTGAGCTTTCCAGATTTCTGTTGCAGCAAACGCAGAAATACCCATTGGGCCACCCTCGCCGTTGCAGGCGATCGTTGCACCAAAGCTTGTCTTGGTGGAGCAGCCAAGCGAAGATCTTCACCGTACCTGGCGCCCAAGCTCTCCAAATCGCAGTTTTTTCACCTGAAGGAGGGATGTCACTGATTTGTAGATTGTAAGAAGCCTTTGCCGAGTAGGTTGCTCCTCCTGTGGTGGCCACCCAGCTGATCGTGTCCTCGTCGGAGGAAAGAACGATGCCTGCGTTCTGACTCTTCCTCCACATTTGCCAAAACTGGTGAGCAATCTCTGCTGTGTTGGCATGCCGGAGGTCACGCACCCATGTGTTATTTGCCAGCGCTTCATGGACTGACCTATTTTTCCTTCTGGAATGTTGAAACAAGGCAGGGAACTCGTGTTGCAGCGCCACCGGCCCGATCCATTTGCATGTCCAGAAAAGTGTTGTTTTTTCGTTGCCCAGGTGCGCGTTGGTGGCTGATGCAAACAGCTCCAGATCCTCCTTGACACATCGGGCCGGGAAGTTCATCCAAGGCCGGCGTGGCTGTTGCCAGGAGAGCCACAACCAGCACAGCCGGAGAGCTGTGCTGAATCGATGGAGGTCCAGCACACCTAGCCCCCCTATCCACCGGAAGACAGACTTTGCCCCAGGCCACCTTGCATTTAGCGCTAGTGACATTCTCATCATGAGCCCATAAAAACTGCCTCCTTGCTTTGTCCACCTCTTTTAGGATTTTCTTCGGCACTTTGAGTACAGTCATTGCAAACACTGGCAGCGCCGTCAAAACGGTACGCACCAGTACCCTTCTACCTGCCATGTTCATGAGCTTGCCTTTCCACCCAGCCAACCTTGAGCGTATCCGGTCAATGATAAATTGGAAATGCACCAGCCTTAGTTTCGTTGGAGAGATTGGCAGTCCCAGGTATGTGGTTGGGAACGAGGACTGTAGCCCCCCAAAGTTTTGCAGAACCACATCTAACTGAACATCAACACAATTTATTGGGATGACTGCAGATTTATCCTAGTTTAACCTCAGTCCCGTGGCTTCCCCTAATCGGCTTAGCAAGTGCAGCAGGGCATCCACTTCTTCCTTCACCGGGTTGGCGAAAATGATGACGCCATCAGCGTATAAGCTAACTCGCATGCTGATACCTCGGCCTAGCAGCCGAGCGATCATCTCTTCCTCTGCAGCAGCTTGAAGGAGATGGTGAAGGGGGCCGATCGCCAGGATGAAAAGCAGCAGGGATAAAGGATCACCCTGCCACAACCATGAGATATTGATTTGCCCTATGTTCCGTTGAGCAAGCAGGAGGAGTTGGCAGAGGAGAGTAGCAGTGCAATCCAGTTTCTCCATCTCGGAGGGAAGCCCATTTTTTGCTTGAGCTCGAGCAAGTACTCCCATGACACGGAATCAAAAGCCTTTGCTATGTCCAGTTTGAAGAAAAGTGCCTTTTTCTTCATCCGTTTCAACATCCGAATGCAGCTTTGCACGTACTGATAGCTCTCGTGGATGCATTTGCCCTTCTGAAAAGCAGTCTGTGTCGATGAGATGACTTTATCTAGGGCTCTGGCCAGCCTTGCAGAGAGCACTTTGGAGATTAGTTTGGCAACTGAGTGTATCAAGCTGATTGGGTGATAATGGTTGACCTCTAAGGCTCCATTTTTCTTTGGCAGCAGTGTAATCAAGGCCGTGTTGATCTCTTGGAAATTCTGCCCAGCCATCAGATGGAACTTGTTAAACACTGCCATGATGTCATCCTGAATGATGTGCCAGCAGGAGCGATAGAATTGTCCCATGAACCCGTCAGGGCCAGGAGCTTTTTCCGTTGGGGAGGAGACGATGGCTGCCCAAACCTCGGCCATGGAGAACGGCGAGTCCAAACCTTGCGGATCAATGGTGGGAGTGGCCAGTCGTTCCCAATTAATGGTTGCTTTTCTATCCTCCTGCTTGCCCAGAAATCTGGTGAAGTGATCATGAATAATCCTCTCCTTTCCGTTGTGATCAAACACCTCCGAGCCATCCTCCCTGAGGGAGTGAATGAAGTTTTTTCTCCTTCTAGCTCTCACTCTTGCATGGAAAAACTTCATGTTCGCATCTCCTGCCTTTAGCCAGGTAATCCTAGAGGCTTGCCTTCTTCTTGCCCGCTCGATGGCTGCTAATCCGAGCACTTTCATCTTGAGATGCTTTCTCAGATGAAATTCTGTAGGCGTGAGCACTCTGTTTTCTTGCGCCACATCAAACAGACGTATGACCTCATTTGCGATGTGCAACTGCATTTTTTCTTTACCAAAAGAAGCCTTGCTCCAAATTTTCAGGTCAGCCGATGTTTTGTCAAGCTTCTTCTTGATTCTGATGAAAGGGCAGTCGTGTTGAACCGGTCTTTGCCAGGCATGAGTGACCGTATGGAAAAAATGAGGAAATTTAGGCCAGGAGTTTTCAAATCTGAACCTAGTGCTTCTTCGCGGTGCATCCACAGTAGTGAGAACCAGGGGGCAGTGATCTGAGAAAGAAGTAGAAGCAGCAACCAGCATGTGGTCTGGGTGCGATTCTTCCCAGCGCACGTTGCAGAAAATCTTGTCGATGCTACACATGGTAGGGCTTTCTCTCTCATTGCTCCAAGTGAAACGCCGGTTTTTGCACTTGATTTCCTTGAGCCTTGCTAAATCAATGGCTCGACGAAACTTCCCGATCATCCTTCTGTTTATGTTGGAGTTGCTCTTGTCTCGCGCTTGATATATCATGTTGAAATCACCGTTGATCATCCACGGCTCGTCAGCAGGAGGGGCGGCAGCAGCTATCTCCGATAGGAAGCTCTCTTTTTGTGCATCATCCGTTGGGCCGTAGACCGTGGTCATCCAAAAATCCTTCCCTGAACTCCTTTCGTGCACCCTAGCCATAATGGAGAAACTACCCAGGTAGTGCGAAGCTACGTCGACTACATCCTTGTCCCAAAAAATCGCTGCACCTCCTCTAGTCCCGATCGCTGGCAGCACCACACACCCCTGCAATCTGCTACCTCCTATCTCGCTAGCTACCATAGTCGTTCAAGTATCAATCTTGGTTTCCTGTAAACAGAGCACTGCTACTCTATGGGAGGATCCTACGTCGCTGACGACCGTGCGTTTTGCCGGGTAGTTTAAACCTCTAACGTTCCAGGTCATGAAGGTTAGATTGCCGTCATCCATCGAAGAAACTAAAAGTGCACCACCAACT